ACGCCCATCAGTTATCAGCAAGACGAGTATCTTGCCATGCCAATCAATTTTAACTTTCTCGAGTGGACGTAATGACATTTCACACTCCGTTCATCTGACAGAGAGTGTGGCAATTTATAGGATTACCACGACTACCATCCTGCACTGCATTGCTGTCCTCGTTACAGCCAAAGTTCGCTCTTTAACTTTAGTCAGTGATCAGGTTTCATATTCGTACGCCATTACCTTTAGTGTTGAGGTAATGAAAAGGTGGGAACGGTCCTTCCAGTTCGATGCTTTGAAGAGATCAACGGAGTTTTAAATCTGCACTAACTGGCAAACCCTCTACTTGAAATTTTCGGGCAAAGATCAAGATTCTAGGTCATTAAGCCGCATACTTACTTTTTTATTCTCCAAGAAACTCATTCTAGGTCATTCAAGAGCCTTTCTTGTAATGAGCATTGTATGATCCACGAGTCGCAAATGGTCTAGCTGCTGGCCACTGATGTTCAATCGAACCTTCCAATCCTGCTGGTAGTAAGCCCGACTCCGCCAACTTCCCTCTATCCATTTCCAGTGCACAGCAAAAACCATTCTACCAGGCTACGCTATGTTCGATCCTTTGCCGTGTTTCACGTACGCCCTGATGACGCCACATAATATTCTATCCAAAAATGTGCACTGATCCAGACTAGTTTCCCAGCATCTTCGAGCCAGGCTTGCTGTTTCCCACAGGTTGTCGGATCATACAAGAACAGAAAAGGTAGAAGTTACTTTTTGTATTTCTTCTCCAGCACATTATTTCTTGCCGCAAGATCTTTCAGCTCATTTTCAACATCTTTGAGTCTCTGTACAGCCTTCTGGGCTCTCAGTCGTTGCAATGAATCACTTTCTTTAAGAGACGCAACTTCCTTTTGCAATTCCACTGTCTGCAAACGCATCAAAATTACATTTTCCACTCCACATAGATTAGCATGACAAGCAGCATTCTCAGCCTTTCTACTTGAGCAGAAATCACCACAACGTCTTCCGAGAAAAAAGCGGAAACATCTTGCGGATCATAAAGTCACAAAAAGATTTGCAAGCGATGTTTTAAGTGCGCTTACTAACAATCAGTCTGCGTATGACATGGGCGTTACTCTCTGTATCAAATTTGTTCATCGTTTTCCGTACTTTCCTAAGAAATGGAAGTAACCGCCTGTTGCATGACTAAGAACAATTATACCAAACAGCGAACAAGAATGGCTGAGCGACACAGGCGCCAGAGCTGCAAAAGCCCAGCTCTGTTCATAAATAAAACTAAAGTAACTGTAAGTAGCAGTGTTACAACTCTAACCCTAGTTTTTGCGTAGTTCCAGGGTGGGAGGGGGCTCTCCCTCCAGCCCGTC